GTTGTGTTGTATGATTATTGTTATATTATTTCGTTTATTTTTCTAATTTTGATGTTGTGTTTTGCGTTTTTGACTCGCTGTTGTCGAGAATATAGAGCGTTACGTGGGAACTGAAAGTGAATATATTGATTTGAAACAAGTGTAATGCGTGCTGTTCATTCATCGTCATCTGTACCGTCAACAAGTCACAGACACCTACTGTATAAGAATCCACAAACACGAAAAACAACATAAATATTATAGAAACAAACGAAATAATATAACAATAATAACAGAACACAAAAATCAATAATAGTGTTTTATATCGTGACAGCATCCATATTGTGTAAGATTTCTTTTAAGGCTGCTGGTTATTTTAACAATTCTGTCCAGAGGATCGCGGCATCATTGGGCTATTCCTACATATTTCGTTTGCTTTTAGGTTTTGATAATCTAAGTATCACGTTTATTATTAAGGCTATATTTACATTTGAACAGACATAAATGCACGAGTTCACAGAAATAAATTAAAAACAAGTGCTATACTTTCTTTCTTCCCTTTTTTTTTTTTTTTTAGTTATATGGAGCAATCATCAAACGAAGTTATGCTCATTTGTGTTTCCTTCCCTCCTTCGTACCTTTTCATGATCATGTTGAAAATCAAAATCTCTTGCGCTGTTGGCAACACATATGCACGCACCCAAGTCGTACCTTGACATATTACTTGCTTATAGTAATTACTTGAAAACAAAACAACACCAAATGATCACAATAGAAGAAAAACCTGGAACCAGATTTGCGCAATTTTACAACACATTCCGAAACTTTGATTTTTTTTACCTTGAAATGAAGAATGAAAACAAACCCACCATAAAGTGTCTCAACACACTTCAGATGGTAAATATATATACCTGACAGAGCCTAGACAGTCTATGTTACCTGTTTAAAGATAATTAACCTGTACTACTTTGTTGTATTCCTTTTCATAAACCTAAATTAAGCCATCTTTTCTATTTATATAGCTTTCTTCTGTTATAGAAAATAATCAATCATGCAAACTGAAAAAATTAGTATTGCATAATTCGATCATTCATATGCGTCACAGTGTCGTCAAAAATTGAATGCGGATGCTCATCACTCAAACAAATTTGTTTGCGTCTTTGCAAACAGCTGGAGGTGGTATAGATAAAATTAAAGGTAGAAGTGTATTGTTACGTAAAACTCTTTATCACTAAGGTCCAAAATACTGCGCATACAAAAACATTCTCGTCATAAAAGTACAAGTCCCAGCTGTCAGATATCGGGAATAAAAATGCCTTCAGACCCAAATTCATTTTAAGTGTGATAAAACCTAAATATACTAAGCTTCGCAAACAATAAAGATAAAAGCACTCACTTATTCTATTTTGATGTTTTTTACCTACAAGTTTCTTTCACAATTAGAAAATAAGCAAAGCTACATAAATGCATGCAATTTATCTTCTGTTAATCAGAAAGGCTCGAGATTTTTATTTAATGTTAAATAACAGACGATACATCTTGCCCAAGAGAAAAATGCGACCGCTATGCCGTCTGGGTGTAAATTTTGTTGAATAATTTTCAAGACTTACATGTATGTAGGCCTAAGTTTATTCTAAGCATAATTTCTTTACTGTTTGGCAGAACTAATTAGTAGTCATAACAGACTGGCTTATAATTTAATTTTAAGGATCTAAATTAAGTTTATGACATTCATTTTAGAAATGTTAACAATACTTACAGTTAGGTATATTGTTTAGCGCCTAGTGTTCTTACATTACTTTTAGGCCTAGGATTAGATCGGCTATAACCGTCGCAAGTGTAAAATACAATGAGTGTGATTTAAGCTGGTTACTTGTTAGTATAATTTAGTAAAACTTCCAATTTGAACCTATTCTTGAGTGTATTTCTAGCTCAAACATGAAGTGTTTGAGCTAGAGATACACCCCTATTAGCCTACAACGTACAAATACTACAGTACAAGTACAATTTCCTTGATCTTACCTAGACTACAGTAGGTATTGGCTCTATTCATTCTGATGTTGTATGTATTGTCGGTACAGTAACAAATAAAATGAAATGCACTATTTACCTTTTAAAAGTTAAACGATCGAAACTGTTTCACGTGTTAATACTACTATTAAACATTAAAAATCTAAATGTTTTCCTTTTAATTCCCCAAATTTATCATCATTAAGTTCAAAACAACGCGCAGTTATTTTAGAAATGAGCGTAATGTATATTTATTAGAATAAAGTGTATAGTGCGTAACACAAAATGGTTCATAATGGTCCACAAAGCTAAACAATGGGTTATCTGTGCCATGCATAGTAAATTATGAATCATTATATTCATTCATTCACTTTAATGAAGATGTAGTAACTTTTTGTAAACATTTTTATAGCGTACAAACTGAAACACCCTTCAACTAACGGGAATGTTTAAACTTATTTAAAACAATGAAAGTTTAACAGCAGTCATATATTTCAAAGAAATAACCTGAACATAAACTATATCCAAGAATTTTCAAATTATAAAAAAGCTTCTTCATAAACAACATTTGCAGTTTGCTTTCCATCTAACAACAATTAAAGATTTTTAGGTGATCCCACTTTCGAATACCCTACATATTGAACATACGAAAAGCATGGTTTCATCCTTTGACCTTGAATCCCTTTAGAATATTCAGCATTGTCTAAAGCGACAATGTTGAATATTTTAAAGGGATTCAACATTTTCTAAAGCGACAATCTGCCAAGATTCTTTTGAGATTGACTTAGTAGGTTGGGAGTAATTGACCGACAGGCTTTAAAAAATAGAAATAAGGTTAAGTTCAATTGTGACCTCCTTAGGTCATTCCCCATAGTTCATAGTGTTCACATACAAATTTTGGTTCAGTAGGCTCGGAGTAGTGAGGGAGCAAACGAACACACATTTCGTCTTTATATATATAGATAACTTGTTTCATACTTTTTTCTGCTGATTTGAGCAGTATCGTTGACTTTCAGACGTTTTCTGATGAGCCAATTTTGACAAAATATACACAAAGGAATAGAGAAAAGTGCCATTTTACTTAAGTGATAAATCAATATGTACCAATAGATGGTGCATTCTATAAGCTAGATAAATATTCTTCATAGTCGTCTTCAATGACAGCTAACCAGTGCTAAAACACTGGAGTGATGATGTAACATCACGTGGTAATAAATAATCCAATAACGAATTACTTCGATAACTGATTATACCGGTAATATATTACGAGACAATAATTATGTTTTTAATGAAATTTAACTTAAACCTAATATTACTAATTACTAAGAGCAATAGAACTAAATTTAATTAAGCTTAGGCCTAACTTATCAGTTCACAGTACATAAACATGTAAATACAGATTATAATATCTTATGGCACAAAACTGAATTGCTGTTTAATTGTTCCTTTATTAAAAACTTAATTTTCTAGAATCACCAGAACTATGTAAACATTCAGATAACATTCTAAGTCGAGACTTTGATCCTTCAAATACTAATAAATATCTTGGTTTGATTATTCTAAAGCGAAGCTGTGACCACTGCGGAAAATCGAACCAACAAATTTTAGCATTGTAAATCCGTAGACTTACCGTTATCCCACAGGGTGACTAAACATTTTGGAACTCATTAAGGATTCCTTATTCTATTTTGTATCTAGAGCTTACATGTTTATGTTGTGGTTTGTTTGTTTGTTTGAATTTATGCACAAAGCTACACAATGGAATATCTGTGCTCTGCCCACCACGGGTATCGAAACCCGGTTTCTAGCGTTGTAAGTCCGCATTATGTTGTGGACTGTTATATCATGTGTTTTTCTCTTACCTTTTAATTTACTTAACATATTATATTATAACCATTGTTACGTGTCTAGAATTGTTCTTAAAGTATAATTGGAATTTTTTACCTATGTTAATAGACGTGCATATTTACCGTCTTGTTTATGTCTCTTGGCGTAATACCTGTATTAAAATCCTACGTTGCATGGTAATTCAATTTTACAAGACTACTAATTTTAGGCTTTGGATATATGATATGGTAAAATGAAATGCTTTGAAATATTTTCTTTGGTGTTTGTATTTGTTTCAGGTTATGTCTTACTGAAAACATAATCGAAACTTAACGATAACAGTCATAGCCCCATCTTTTTTTAATGTAGTTTTTATTCAGCTTGTATATCGCTGATGGGTTGTAGGAACTTACATTTAGAAATCGAGAATTTACGTTACTTCTAAATAACTCTCATAAGTTCCAGAAACGTCTAGTAATCCGTAATTTGTGTATTTGCATCATTAAATTTTGAAATATAAGTGTTACTAGAGTACCAGTTTCTTATCACTAACAATATCTAAGGGGTGACAGGTTGGATCCATGGCAGTAGCAAAAGATGATTCATAAAAAATATCTGAGCTCAATTACAAACCACTTCATTTATTGCAGCCTCTTCGCGGAATATTTTTACATATTCATCAGCTATTATACAAATCTGCAGTATAAAAAGAGTAAAATTTTAAATTTAAAAGCCAAAAAAAGCCTAGAATCTTATTTTTCTTTCTCGGCTATATTTATTATACTATCTGAGAAAACGACGAATTCGTTGGTAAACTGCACGCTATTTGGTTCAATCCCAAAGAACAATCAGTTAACATACTCATGGAAATAGAGCCTACTCAATGGTGGAAAAGGTAAATTTGGTCATACAAGTTCTAACTTGTAAGATGTATATACTTTAACTTCCTGAATTAGTGCCCGAGTTAGATTTCCACTAGAATCAGTGAAGAAAAATAAAAAAAGTTTGATGAAAACCAGATTCCGTACGCTGACAAGTAATTTTCTTCGAATGAAGAACTTAATGTTGCAATAAATCAATACAAAAGGAAATATTTATTTAATATATATATATCACGAAGTTATAGTACGCCGTACGGTTGAAATCAACCATCAGCTAAAATTTCACAAGTTACACTTGCAAACATGGTGTCAGGATATGCAACCTGCAGTGAAAAGACAATCCGGTTGATACACCCAGCACATAAAAAGGGATGGTTTGGTTTGCTGTGAATTACACGAGGGCTAGCCGTTCCTAATTTAGCAGTGAAATACTAGAGGTAAAGCAGCTTGTCATCACCACCCACCGTCAACTCTTGGGATACCTTTTTACTAACGAATAGTGGGATTGATCGAACTTTATAACACCTCCACGGTATTTTGAGAGACTTCGGATTATTGGATCCCTCATGCTAGCATAAATCATCATTGTTTAACTATTATTTAATAATTAAGGTATAAAAATTACTCACATGTAACTGATATTAATATTTACATTTGGTCATTAAAGGAGTATTTCCACGAACAGAGAAGAAAGAAAATGAACTTGGTCAGTATAAAATGGAAAAGAAGCCCGATGTGTGTGACAAAACACTAGGAAATGCTGTCGATGTGAGTGACCCGAAGTAAGTAAATCGTGATAGTAGGTTGGTTTTAGAGCTTCAGAAAGACCGTCGTTATTATTATCGAATTTATTTTTACTGATAATTTGTGCACAAGGATAGCATCATCAACATCTACATATACGAAGATCACGTGTGTAAGATTCAGTATAGTTAAGCTTGTTTGTTCTTGGAAATTCGCGCAAAGCCACTCGAGGGCTATCTACGTTAGCCGTCCCTAATTTTAAAGTGATGGACAAAAGGCAAGGCAGCTAATCAAACATCACCCATCGCCAACTCTTGGGCTAGTCTTTTATCGAAGAAAAGTGGGATTGACAATACATCTTACAGAAATATTACACA